AAAAAAGCCTTTTCTACCTGTTCAGCCCACCTGACTGTGGTGATCTTATTCTATGGGACAGCCCTTTTTATGTACACAAAGCCCAAGTCAAACAACACCAAAGTATCTGATGAAATCATTGTACTGTCTTATGGAGTGATAACCCCAATGTTGAATCCCATCATCTATAGCCTGAGGAATAAGGAAGTAAAAGAGGCTGTGAAGAAAATTTCGAACAGATACTTGCATATAACAAAAATATGAAAGGCCTTGAAACATGTGATTCTCTCAACACAGGATCAGATTAGGTGTATTATAGTCACAGAAAAAGTCTGCTTATAAGGCCATACATGGGACTCCATTCTTTTCAACATGGAATGCTCATATAAAGCTTCTGAATATTGTCTTGTTTGCAGTCTCTCTATGTGCACAGCTCCCCTAATTAGTCTCTAAACATCTTTCCATCATATACATCTTATTCTCTCTGCCCTCTGCTATCTCCTCTATTTTTCTTTCTTCCTCACTTTTTACTCCTTCTTCTCCCCTGTCTCTTTCTCCTCTTTGTCCTTCCCCTCAACTCTCCTTCATCTATTTCATCTCTCTTCCTTCCTTTTGTACTCTCAGTCTCATTTCTCTGTCATTTTAAATTGAACATGTATTGATTTATTTTTGTCTGGAATCCAATCTTCTGTTAAAAGTATCCTTCTTTTGATAAATCCACAGTCCATCCACTTGAGTTTGTATAGTTCTGGACAGAGCTGATCCAAACCTTTGGAAATAGTATAAGCACTTAACTTTGGCCTAATTGATTAAAAACAAAATCCTTCCTGCCACAGTGATTGATTTAACATTTCAAGTGATCCAAGTCAGGCTAATCAAACCCAATCTGTACTGTCCCTGTATGAGAAAAAAAGGGAACAGTTCCTGCTAGAGTTGCTAAGTAGGTGGAGTATTCATCTGGAGGCAATCTTTGCCCATACATAGAGAAAGTCTAAATGAAAGATAAAACAAGAGTTGTGAGAAGGAGGGGGAAGGGATGTCTGATGCAGTGATTTTAGCTTCTTGATTAAGCTGTGTCTAAAGTCAAATTCCCAAGCATTTTTGGTTATATGAGTTATATTATTTATATAAGCTTATATTAGTCAATTAGTTAATTGAATAATTAGAGTCAATAAAAATAATTTCTTTAAAAACTAACTTTGAATTGGACTCTTAGTTACATACAATCAAATAGTCCTAACTAATGTATTCCTTTGTCGCCATTCCATTTTTATTTTAAGGCAAAAAAATTGTGGGGATAGATTATTTAAGTAGCCCCAAGTTCACCAGAACTCAGGGATCCTTATTTTCCTTTCTTTAATTAAATTATGATCATATAATTTGTGTTCTGAAAGTAAGTAAGTACTCTAGTCAACTCCCCAATTATTTATTTATTTATTTATATATGACAGCAGAATGCATTATAATTCTTATTTCACATATAGAGCACAATTTTTCATATCTCTGATTTTATACAAAGTATATTTACACCAATTCATGTCTTCATACATGTACTTTGGATAATAATGACTATCACATTCTACCATCATTTCTAACCCCATACCCTCTCCCTTCCCCTCCATACCTCTGCCCTATCTAGAGTTCATCTATTCCTCCTATGGTGACCTCTCCCTAGTCCACTATGAATCAGCCTCTTTATATCAGAGAAAACATTCAGCATTTGGCTTTTTGGAATTGGCTAACTTAGCATTATCTTCTCTAGCTCCATCCATTTTCCTGCAAATGCCATGATTTTATTCTCTTTTATTGCTGAGTAATATTCCATTATGTTTATATGCCACATTTTTAATCCATTCATTTATTAAAGGGCATCTAGGTTGGTTCTACAGTTTATCTATTGTGAATTGTGCTGCTATAAACATTGATATAGCTGTTTCCCTGTAGTCTTCTCAGCAAAAGAAACAAACTGTGAGGTGAACAGAGAGCCTACATTTTTGGGAGCAAATCTTTACCCCTCACACATCAGATAGAGCACTAATCTCTAGGGTATATAAAGAACTCAAAAAGTTAAATACCAAATAAACAAATAACCCAGTCAATAAATGGGCTAAGGACCTGAACAGACACTTCTCAGATGATGATATACAATCAATTGACAAATATATGAAGAAAATGTTCATCATTGCTAGCAATTTGAGAAATGCAAATCAAAACTACTCTAAGATTTCATCTGACTCCAGTCAGAATGGCAGCTATCATGAATACAAACAACAATAGGTGTTGGTGAAGATGTGGGGGAAAAGGCACATTCATACACTGCTATTGGGACTGCAAATTGGTGCAGCCAATATGGAGAGCAGTATGGAGATTTCTCCCCAATAATTTCTAAGCAGTGTTTACGTTTTCTAACATTCTGGTTTTCATTTTTGCCCCAGACTATCATTCTAAACTTTACTACTAGTCCTTGAGTAATCTTAAATACCTCTTTGTTTTAAAACTCAACAGTATATTTTGCCCACAAAGAATAGACATAAGTCTCCTAAATAACCATATTCTACAGATCACTATATTTAACATCCTTCTGTAGGCTGAAAGATAAGATCAGTGAGATAGCAAGAAAAACATCACTGTTTTTGTTATTTCTTAGCCATGCCAATGCCCATGGCCCCTCTCAAGTCTATTTTCCTCTTTATCGATTTCCTGCTACGAGGTTGATATTGTCTATTCATTTTTAAAAGAACAGTGCTTACTGACCAGGAAATTGGGCCTTAATGATTTTAAAATATTAAAGTCCAATCTACAAGAACCTTGAATGATGAATTCTGTTTGAAAATATATCAAGCTGCACACTTAGGAGTTGTCCACTCTCAAAAAGGATTCAATAAAGTAATACACAACCCATTGCCTGCCTCACATAATAAATATTAGAATAATCATCACAACCTTTTAATACTAAGGTCCACATGATTCATTCTTCACAATGCAAGAACCATGATTGGAATCCAGCAATCAAAACCAATTTTAACATCCTTTATTTGAGTTTCTTAGAAGTTCCAATACTAGAGTAATATTTTTAAAAATCCCATTGTATTTTAAAAATCCTTGCTCACAGCTGCTCTGGAGCATCTCCTTCCATCATTTCCTAAGACCCAGTCTTCTTTTTCTACAGTTTACATCCTTTCTTTTCTATTCCAACCTTCCATGATCAGGATATTTTTCTCATATAAAATAGTGAATACTCTGATGACAAGGAATTTAGAACGACATGGATTTTCAAGAAAATGAACATTTGAGCCCTAACTTCCGGGGGGGGGGGAAGCTGTTAAAATTCTCAAAAAGATTTATCCTACAATATTACTTACCAACACAAATCTAGCTTTTTTCACCACATTTCACAGATGTTATCTTTCTACCACTTTATCAACTTATTTAGGAAGAAATTATTTCTTTCTCTTTTATTCTAATTTAGGTTTTATAATGTGCCTCTGTTACATTTCTTGTTACATGTTTTATATTTATTCAATGTAGCATAATTTGAGGATGGGCTTAGAGGTCAAGAAGAAATGATTGTGAACTATAGTTTACTAGAATTAGGAACTTTCATGTATTAGACTCTACATTTCCCATGAACTAAAATGTTGAATTTAGTACCTAGACTGGGGGGGAAGGGGTAATTATGATTGAATAAAAAAAGCAAAATGTCTTATTCATGTTTTGCCAATGTCATGCAATGAAAAATACATGCATACTTCATACCTTTACACATATATACCTATCTCTTCAAATAGATTCCAAATTTCGTGAAGGGAAAATATGAAACTAATCTTTATTTGAGAGACCTTGGTATCTAGATAAAAGGCATTTGTTATAAAGTGTGTTGACTAATTGAATACATATGTGATTGCCTTTCTTATGCTATACATAAATAAGGATATTTTCCATTTCCTAAATAAGCCCTACAATGGCCATTCACTCCCACAAAATTGCCAATACTGTAATCAACCTGTAAAAACTCAAACTGCCTCTCAAAAAGGTCTCCTCTAACTTGAAGCCTTTTTTAAAATCCTAGCACAATTCTTAGCTCTTCTTCCTCTGTGTTAAATTTCCATAGCAAACTATTTAGGTTTTGGAATATTTATTATGTTA